CGGCCCTTGGTGCTCACAGTCCCCCTGTGGTACTTGCTGGACTGGACTGGGACTCTCTAGACCCTTCTGCTGACTGTAGGCAGTCGTACCGTCGACTCAGTGCAGTTGCACTGAGGTCCTACCTGTTGACCTTGCTGCTTGTCTTCGTCTGAAAACGTGGGCCTACCTTAGACTCACCACTTGACCACTTGCCGACCTTCTAGAAGGACTACAGCTAGGCCTCTGGACTCTACTTGGACTCCTACCTTACAGGTCTACAGTTCGAATCTCCCTACAGCCTACAACCTACGGCGACCTACTTACCACTGGCTATCGTGCAGGACACGGGTTCAACTCCAGGGAACTGTGCAGATACTTTACACAGGTAAGCTGAGGTCAAGGGATCGACCCCTGGGATCTGCATCGGCTACTGCCAAAGGTGAAAACTGTTTCAGACCACAGGATCCCCCAATTGGCATTAAGCAGGCCGCAGCCCCCACAGTTCCATCCTTCGAGGCATTGTGAAGTCAGGCTGGCTGCTACTGGTTCCCCGTACTACTATAATGAGGAGTAGTGGTAGGTAGGTAGGGTAAGGTGGAATTGAGACAAGAATCTGGTTTAGTTTGAAAAAAAGAAAAAAAGAAAAAGGTATACCCTGACCAATCACGCTGGCAACACCTGCAACTGAATTGATGGTGACTTATACTCCACGCATGCTGAGCTTGACACTGAAGGAAACTACCCTGCTCCAGCCGATCCACATGTGAAGCATTAAACCACCAGTACACGGCCCATAATGGCTCACTTGAGGCTCAGGGCTACCGCACCTCCAGATCCAACTTCAGAAAACTAATGGCTCACTTTTTAAAACTCGGAGGCTCGTGATTACTGAACCACAACGGCTGGCAGCGCCAACCAAAAAACATGAAAGGTGCACCGCTGGCGGATCGGCAAAGGTTGGCGTGCAGTGCGAGTCTGACAGACTTGGGTGAACTGTTGGTTTAAATGAAAACCACCCAGCCATATCCACCAGAGCAACCCTTCGTTTCATAAAGCCCACCAGCACTTTCCGTTGTGACATTGCACTTGCAGACAGTGGCAGAAGAGTCGAGATGAATGACAGGAAATGGGAATGCCCAAAACGAATTGTGAGATCCACGGACAGGTGGCTGTGACAAATGCAAGCACGACACTCACATCTCCTTCAGTTCTGTCAAGGCACCAAGCTCCGCTGGTATCCATCCGTTCAGCATATTGGAATTCAGTCGCCTGCAATCACAGATGTGAAAAATCAATGTGAATTGACTTGAAATACCAGACCAGCCACCTGGGCTGTGTCAAGCCGCCCAGTGGCCTGGACAGGCAAGGCACGGGCAAGGTCCCAAGCAAGGTCCGGCTCAAAATAAAAACGACAACTTTAAAAACGAGAAAAAAAAAGGTTAAACAGAAAGACAAATCAAACAACTTTTCGCTGCAGTTCAGTCCCAAATTTGTTAATCAACCGAAAATCAAAAAGAAAGTGAAAAAATGAAATTATCTCACACCCCCTTTGTTACATACTTCAATGAGTATGGGCAGAACCAAAGATCAACCAATATATGATGAGCATTTATGCAGCGGAAGTCTGATAACGAACTGACTCACATAGACTGACTCACACCAACTGACTTA